GAGACCCGATCATTAATCATGTGTTTGATGCTAATCTTTGAAACCATGTGTTCAGTTCTCCGTTCTATACTTATTTAGGATTGAAAAATCTATACATGCCTTAAAATTATATTGCAGTTTAAATTGGACATCATTAGTTTAAGGGAATTTGGCATAAATAACTAACAAAAAAATTATAATTTGACAAATAATCATAGCAAAGGGATGGTTAGAATACACCATGAATTTTCTATATTTTGGACACAAATACCCTTGACAACAAAGAAGTGGGAGTAAAGCCTATAAAGATATCTCTATTATAGAATGAGACTAATGTATAGAAATGAGATTACGAGAGATTTATTCAACTTTAAAACATCAATACAGTTAGAGAGAGATGTAAACGATAGAAATCATTTGGAATTTTTTGAGATAAATCAGAACAGTCGCCGGTAAATTATGAAAAGTGAGGTCTCGCCGGTGGGGGTGATCGAAATTCCGATGTGAATAAAAAAATTTGAAATTTTGGAGGACCGACAAGAATCGGAGGAAGGGAATGAACTTGCTTGCATGTAACCAATGGAAATAGGATTGGTGATATTGGGTTGAAAATTCATGGGTTTGGGACTGTGGTTGATTATGTTTCGTTTTTTCCAGATCTATTGAAACCGTTTAACTTCATACAAAATGAACCAAATAACATAGACAAAAGTAAAAATAGAATAGTCAGTATCTCTATTACCATAAGTGATTAAGAATTATGGATCTGAATGGAAGAGAGAAAAGAATATTCAATATTATTAATTTGGAAAAAATCTATTTCGGATCTTCACGTTTCTTCTTCGGTGGAATCACCATCGGATCCTGTACCCTTATACCCTTCTAATTCACCATCAACAACCTTCCTTCTCCGCATCTCATTACTTCCCGGCGATTGGATCTCAACCGTGCGACTTCTCCTCTACCGCCTACTTCACTTCCTCCCCATTTGATACTTCCAGAGAAGTAAAGCTTCACCGTCGCGTCTTCTTCTTGGTGCCGTGAGCCTTCCTCATCCCATCTCATCCCTTCTTCTGCTCCAAAACTTTCTCTTTCTCCGAGTCTGACACGTAATTAGGGCGACTTACCTTCTTTTACGTGCGTGGGAGACTAAAACTGCCCAAAAAATTTAGCTTTGGTTACATTTTTTTGTAAGTTAATAAGACTAAACTTGCAAATTAATCCATTTCAATTTTTTTTTTTTTTTAAAGAAAATTTGTAAAAAAAAATTTCCACTTTGTCCAAGGTTTCGATTAGTTTGCATAAATAAATAAAATTACGAGGGTTCAAATGTTATTATTGAATTATATTGTGGCGAAATCGTAAATGCAAAAGTTTTTTTTTTTACCAATCCTGGTTCTGCTTGGATAAGAGCGAGCCTTTCTCCATTCTCTCACTCTCCTTCATCCAAATCCTCCGTTCCAATGGCAGCTTCAG